GGAGCAGCAATCTCATGAAGTTCTCAAGCCTTCTATGAAACACACATATACAGTGAATACAGTCTGGGCTGTGAATACAAATCCTTCCAAATGTCCACAGGTTGGGGGTGACCACCGGATTTTCATCGAACCAAACCACCCCTGACCTTCCAACGGCCAGTTTCACCTCTTGGGTTTGACCGTTTGACCTCGCAGCTGGGGAGAAGGTTGTTGCGTGTTGGTCACATGGATGAGATGAAGCTGAAGGTTCTTGCGGGTGAGAGGGGTCTCTCAACATGAGGCTTCACAAGCTGCTGTTCACTGTCGTTGTATTTTTTAAAAGTTAATCCATGGTTTCGAGCAGATGGCATAGACCATCATAACCCAGTTTCACCAGTGACAGGGGTTTGCTTTCTGGAATCGCCCTCTTTTTCTTCTCAAATTGAGGCTGTTGTGGCGCTTATCTGGAGAGCAAAACACAAACCCACCGCTTATTGCGCTTTCTTTTTACCCTGCTGGTGATTTATATAGACAGAATGACCTCTATGCTTTGGACCATGGCCAAGTTCAGCGGTCTATTTTCCATGTCTTTGTACATGAGCAATGGTGTTGTGCTGTAGGCCAATGACTATGGGATTCCAACAACCATTGTTTCAATGGTCTTGACCAAACAACCATGGTTTGATGGTTTTTTTGCGCTGCTTCCAATAGGTCAACCATTTGTTTGAATGGTCGAACTGGCGACCAGGGATACACTAAATGATCTCATTTCGACCGGTCCTTCAGCCTCTTTGGGGGTTCGACCCCAGCCGGTTCATGCCTCGGTTTCTGGACGCGCCGCCAGTTCAACCGTGCGTCCGCTCGCGGCGCTCGCCCCCTCTCTCGGCTCAGCGCGAGACGCGGCACGCGGGTCCCTCTCAGCAGAAGGGACGCCGAGCAGAAGGGACGCCATGAAGCGCCGCGATGGATACAAGGCGTCTGGTTCGGTGAACGCGACGCACGATGCACGATCCGTCCTGCGGTCAGGGTGTTTTTGGAGGCCCTGAGGTCAGGGAGGGTCTATTGATCTAGATGGGCACCTGGAGGGTTGGAAGAGGATTTGGCAACCTTGGGCCTTTTGATCTTTCCATGGGTGAGAATCAAGTATCCAGCCTTGAAAACGTAATACGTTTTATGGCTTGCCGCGCTGAACAGGCGGAACATGAGGTTGGCCAGTCAGGAAGGCCTGAGAAAAGAAGGGCCTCTTCAAGAAAACGTCCCTACTTTTTTGGAAGAAACACACAATGGGTGCCCAAATCTCGAAGCAAACCATCTGGGAGCGGTGGTTCCAGGCTTCTTCCAAAGTCTGGGTTCCCTGCAACTGTTGTTCGTTAACGGAATCAACCAGACAAATCACTCCACCAACCAAGAACATCCAAGAACTGTACCAGTCAGAGTCATAACCCTCTTTTTCATTCTTCCAGGATCGAAATCCCCACCGCGCCGTGCGGGGTTGAAACCCCACCGCGCCGGCACGCGACGGTCGTCTGGCTCCACGACTGGTCGCCCCCAAACAACGCAGATGCGCTCCGGAGACAGTGCCTTCGTGGACAAGGAGGCGTGGAGTGCGCCCGGGCGTTGGTGGAAGGGGTCCACGACAGGGCTGCAAGGCTGTGGAGTGGAGGATTGGGAGTCCAAGACTATGTTGAACATGGGAGTTCGGTAACTATTCAATCAATGGTGATTCGAATCCTAGTGTGCAGGGCCTGCTAGACTCTCAAGTGTGATCACAAACATTCCCAACAGACCGGTCTCTTTACGGAGGGTCAACGCTTTCTCGTGGAGAACGTGTCCATTTGGGTGGCTGTGGTCCCAAACAAAAACAACGACCTCCAAAGCTGGCCCTGGGCTCCAAGATTTCGCCAGTGGTAGTTAGGTAGTTAGCGGTGCCTGCCTCTTCGTTTCCTTCGTTCTTGTTGTGACCGACGACCGAACCAAGACATCTGCACCTCTGGCAAATCGGATCGATCGAAAACTCCAGATCCCTCTGTTTTTCAGAGCTGAGGCTCTTCAGTCCCGCGTTTTGCCGATCAGGTGATTTTTGGTATGTTCCCGAACTGGGTGAATCACCTAACCTGGGAAGATTTCTTGTTTCCAGGTTCCTGGATAGCAAATCTAAGTCAACCAACCGGGAGATTCGACTGGGAAGACTGGGAGTCCCCATGGGTGGAGTCACGGAGTCACTGCTTGGGCTTCGTTGATTCGGAATCCGGACAGAGACCCCACTGTGCACAAGTGAGATGCCCCTGAACAGGTTGCTTTTTGACCACTGAACAAGGCATTGCCACACTTCTTAGGCTGCAGCCCGGGAAAAATTGAGAGGTTTTTGAGAAGGTAGAGTACTGTGTCGTTCTGAATGAGTTCATGTTCCAGGCAAGACCTGAGTTCCAGGCCAGACAGGATGGCTTGGATGTCCAACGAACCTCTCTCAACCCATGGGCTGACATAGGCTGAGTATGCCAAGATGCTGAATGAGTTGCGGCCGAAAGCGATTGAAGCCGATGCTCGGACAGCTACAGTTGGAAGCGATGTGCAGAATTGCCTGAGGGCGTCGGGCTGTTGACCGTGCCCACCGTTCCAAGAATTTTGGTCAAGACTGGTTGATTGGTCAGTTCGCTTGATGGAAGCACATCTACTTAGATCTGGCCAACTTTGGAAGCCTGGTTGGAAGCTTTTAACTTTGCTACCCGCGCCCGCATAGCGGTCGCAACCTCCAAGGTGTACGCTCGGTGTTCTGCGAACGAGACCAAAAAGATGCTCCACCTACACCGGGCCACCCACATCAGCATGTGACATATGATTGAACATATGGAAAGAACCGAAGAGCCGCATCAAGCCATTGGGATTACCCTGACATCGTCCAATTCTTTGGGGAAAAACCAACGCGGCGTCCAACGTGGTGGGACCTGGCGCTCTAAGGACCCTTTGGGAAGTTTCCAGTCCATGGACCCCCGTGGGCGAAACGCGGCGTTCTCTCGAGTTGCGGGGCAAGCCGCACGGTCGTGGTTCGGAAAAGCCGACGTTGGGTGATGAGATAGGAAGCAAAAGGTGGTGGAATCTGGGAAAGCACCGGGTTTTTCTTTTTGTGTTTCTGCAAGGTTGAGGAGGGTGAGATGAATTAGGGCAATATGAGCAGGGTGACAGGGCACGTATTGAGGCATGGAGCTACAGAGGAGTTTTTGCTGGTTTTCCTATAGGGGCTCAACATGGCGATGTACTTTTGAGGAGGTTCCAGTGTGGGATTCCAGTATTTTATATACCCCCCTCAGAAGTCTTTGCTCAACTCCCCAAGACTGCTTTTGAATGCCTTTGGCTTCAGTCCCTATATAAATCACCGATACTTAGTGATTCTTTTTTCATTCGAGTCCTTGACAGGGGGATGTCGGCAGCCAAAAACCCATCCAGGCAACCTGTTTTGAGGGTCTGCTCTCTGCAGATCTCGTCCAACTGATCTGGGCTTCGACCGCGGTCGGACCTCGATCTGCTCCTCCGAACGACTTCAGGGATAGGACCTCTCTCCGAAGAGACGAAAGAATCCGATCGCTGGAAGCTCCGCACCGAATCCCACGACCGGAGTCCGGGATTCGGCAAAAGACCATGTCGTCACTTCTTTTGAGGTATTGCTACCCTGCCTTTGGGGGGAAGGCTCTGAGGAAAGTGCTCTTTTTTTCCCAAAACACAAGCTAACTCTGTTGGTTGGAAAGGGACCTACTGGTACTTTTAGGTTGTATGCTGGGGCTCTCATCGAAAGGTGTTTTAACGCTGTACTGGCAACTCCATTGGTCTTTGCACTCTTTGGGTCGGCTTTTTTGATGACAAATCTGGTTTGGGTATCAGCGTTCCATTGGGATCAGCTCCCGGGGGTGACTGGGGGATGACTTCTTGGAAACAGCGTTGCCATTGTGATTTGGCATTGAAATAGTTGCAAGGGGTGAGTAAGGGATGACTTTGTCAGGTTCCTGTACAATCTGTGCTTCTGGTGTCCCTACTGGTCGTTGGGTTGGACTTCTGATTGAACATAAAGCCTATAGACCTTCCAAACGTGCAACATTGATGTTTTTTCATTTAGAAAAGCAGCCCAAAAGCATACATTTTGCATAGTTGGAAGACCCAAGGTAAATCAATTTTCCTCCACCACCGGTGGACATTCCTCCCAAGCCACGCGCGGGTGCCGCGCAGCTGGGCGATCTGCGCAGGAGACCATGCTAGGCAATCAGCGGATGGAGATGCACCGCCTGATCCACGGCTTTCACGACATGGCCATGAGGCAGACTGGCTGGATGCGGTCGCGAATGCCCTGATGGTCAGATGGGCCGGGGTTTGGAATGTCTTCTTGGTTTTGTTGGCGCATGTCTTCTTCTAAGGTTTGCCTCACGACAAATCTGACAGTCTTTCAGGAAGAGTGTATGCATGGATATGTATGGACAACTGAATCCGTGGGACATTTCATGACACTTCTTTTATCCCTAATGTAAGTTGGACATCTGTTACGAAAGAGCTTCCATGAGACTTCCACACGAGATGAGCTCGCTTCCACGGACGCGGAGCGCCTCGTTTCATCACCAGGTCTCAGCTACGCAAGGCTTAATGTGTCCACCCGGCTTCATGTGTCCGCCCGGTGGCATGGAAGATTCACGTGGAACCTGAAAACCCCGATTGTGCAGCTGGAGGACAACTTCCAAACTTGCAGATAGCAAGCACGATCGCTGGCGAAGAGCGGGGAACGGTGCATTTTTGGCATCACGACCCATCTCTGTTGTGCATGCCAATGACAAGCTACGATTTTCACTCCTGAAGAGGACACATGTCACACAACAGCTTGTGGAACTCTAGCACCCTTTGCAGATCCCAAGATGGAATGCAGAAACAACTTGCCCTTTTGCAGCCGTCCAGGCTCAGCGTCCATTTGTGGGGTACCTTCTCCAGGTTCAGCCACGCAGGTTCCGGTGTTCACACCATGCTGTGCTGCAGGTTCCTAGTGCGGAAGGAGCAAAGCTGGCGGAAGGCGGACCTGCATGGGCACGAGGGAAAAAACCCGGGTTTCTCTTATCCGACTCGTGCAGAGGGTTTTTCCGCGCTGGGCGGATGTCCTCGGGATTCGGGCGTCCAAGTCCCCATGAAGACCGTACCAGCGGCGCATGGTGCGACGAGATAGCGGTGCTTCGACCGCGGTGAGACAGCGGTGGCATCGGTGTACCCCAAAGAAACATCTCTATGGAGGTGACCCCAGCATCATGGTGAACCCGAGGGTCATGGTGAACCCGAGGAGCAATCTTTGCGGGTTGTGGTGTATCGCAATGAACTGTCTTTTGCTTTTGAACACGTTCTTTTCCCACATCCGGATGTCTCTCCATGCGACCCCCCGCCGGTGAAGAGAACTGGACGCGTCGTGTTTCTTCGTGTTTCTCACCCAGCCGGTGGTGGTCTGGGGGGTCTGGTCGACCGAACGCTCCTTGGTGAACACGTTGTCGTTCTCCAAAGCGATCCCCGTTCGAAGTGAAGACCTGCCACCAGCCGAGCTTCTGGACATGCTCTGATCATCGGGTCACCGAGGAGGAACGACCACTTGAAAGAGTCCCGGAGATCGGGATCCGGTGAAGTACAGCATGCCCCGCAAACTCGTCACCCCGCAGACACTGGAGACCATGAAGGGAAGAAAGGAGTCGGTCGGTCGAGACGGAGGCGGAGGCAGCGGGGCGTCCAGAATGTTGATTTGCATGCTCACATTCCACCCCTTCCGTTCAAGCCTTTTAATAATGGGACAGACCTGGATGACCTGGTTTTGTAGTGTAAACTGTGTAATAACCTGTGTAAAACAAATACGTAGTAAAACAAGGGTTGTTTGGTGAAATCTATAGATTAATGGTGCTTGGAACCAACAGTCGCCAACAGTTCTGGTCCATCAGATTCTTGATTTCGAGCACCTTCTTGTTCCAGAAGGAATCCAGTCCGCCCAAATCCCACCGCAACAGTATCATTCTGCATGTTCTTTTTCGGGCCTCAAAACAGGCAGAGCTGGACAGGCAAGCGGTAGGTGCTGAATTGGAGGTGGGGGCACCCCGCGACGCGAGCGTCGCGCGTGGTCCCCACGTCGCGCGTTGCAGCGCGTTGCAGCGGAGGTGGATGATAGATGATGATAGGATATGATAGGCCAATCCACCTCCGTGAAGCAAGTTGGAGGTCCAATAGTGATGATGAACAAAGCCACCTCACTTTCGGATGATAGGTAGGTTTTCCTTGCTCCGCCTGGTTGGAAGTCAAAGAGTCAAAGTACCTTTGACCTGAAGTGAAACCAGGGTCAACCTTGACTCACCTAATGTTTTTGTGAATTCTTCAGATATGGAGGCTAGGCTGGAGATTTGGGTTTTGAATCTGGAGATCGGAGGCTACACTCCGACTCAGTAACTTGGAACTTGAGTGACTTCACCCCCTTGCTTAAAGGAAAGTCGTCTTCCTAGTTAGTAGAGACCGTGCCATCCACTTCCATCTTTGTGAGTCCGAGTGTAAAGAGAGGATCAGAGAGTAAGACCAATTAACAATTTTGGTAGAAGTTCAAGTAAATGCTAGAACTCATGAATGAACTACTGAACTCGTGAATCAAGTAACTAATTAGTGAATTTGTAACGAATGCTCGAACTGTGACGTACCAATTCGACGACCCGTCTCTCGTGATCTTCGGTGCGTGTGGTAGCCAACCGGACCTGCTGGAGCTGCGACCCACCGGAGCGGAGGGGAATCCTCGTGACCATTGATGACAGACCACCCGGGGTTCGTCGTCAGCACTGGCGTCCCATGGCTACCCACTCTTGGCGCAGTGAAGTTGGATCCACCAACCGTAGTGGTGTTGCCGGAAAGAGAGGATGCATGTCGTCCACATGACACAAGCTGTCGATGGTTACGTGTTCCTGCACCACGTTCGATTTATGTAGATCTTAGATACTGTACCGCCCCAACCACACAGTCGTTCCCAGTTGGTGTAGAAACTCCATCCATGACGTGCGACCCGACTTGTGTCCCTACCTTTGTAGTAAGTCAACTCATCTGGTTGATTTGTCTGCTGTGGCAGGTTACTGACTCCCTCCCAGCATGGTAAGTTGGATGTGGAGCAACCTCCTTTTGCTGATCTATACATAATTTAGTCTTTGGATCACTGAATCACTGGCCACATTTGTTTACGTCTGGATGGGACGTGGACTGGCTACGACCTTTGTCGAGGGCGTCGGAGGTCGCCGTCCAAAAGGGTCATACCATGCACGGTTCCCATAGTTTGTTGGAGGGCGTTCTCCCTGCACCAAGACCCATGAGCTCAGACACTATTTCGACCGTTTTTGATTGTAGCAGACCGCAGACATCCAACCAACCTGGGTCACCGGTTACCGTGCGTCGCGAACGACCGGGAAGGCTTTGAAGAACAGCCCTCTTCGAAGCCAGAGCAAGGCCAGCAACAAGGGCAACAAGGACGTCTTCCCGTCGCGATCGCGCGCAGCTCGCGACCCGTGTCGTCTTCCGTGTTTGTCTTCCACCATCGGACGAAGAAAGAACGAAGCGAAGGTGTTGAAGAGCCGACCTGAGACAATTTGAGACCTGAGAAGTCCAGAAACAGTCCAGCGTTTTCCGGGGCTGAGCGTGCTTCCAACGATCTCTATATTACTAGTATATTACTATTTTTTGAATATGATGAACACCTTCTGTTCAATGTGGATCCTCTATCACCTTCGCTGTTTCTTTTCTTTTTGCGTCAAGAACTGGAGTGATCCGGAAGGGCCTCCCAAGGTCGCCGGAGGATGGCGAGGAGGAGCCCCGGCCCTGGGCTGCCAGCCAGGGCCCTAAGGGGTGAATGAACACCCTCTAAGGGGCTATTTGTTAGACACCCTAGATCACACGGGGCGCTAATATAGAAGGGCCAGAAGGGCCCACGATTGACTTCATTGCGGATCGAAGGCTCGGCTTGACCGATTGGGATTGTCGCGAACTGGGTCAATCCGGAGAACTGGGACATTCTTTTTTATGTTTTTTTCTCCCGCTTTGAGATGGTTTCGCCATTCAGAAGCTTCTCGAATGATTCAGGAAGGTTCCGCCCTTGGACCCCGACAGACTGGACCAGTCCCCTTGGACTTCTGGACCTATCTGGCAGTACTTGGAGAAACGCACCTTTATAGAACTTGGAGAACGCGTGTCTTGCAGCGTTGAGATGCTCTATTTGGAGTACCGAAAAGCGCCCCCTGTAGGTAGGGCATTTTGCAGAAACCCGAAAAGCTCATCTCGTCTCCTTTCGCTCGAACATCCTTTCGACACCTGGTAGGCCCTGAACACCGTGAGACAAGGCCTCGCACGCGTCGAGCTGCCAGGACGGCAGTTCCAACGTGGTCTTGTTGGCCCAGCTCGAACGCTGCCGCGAGCAACTCCTGGATTCGGAGCGGAGTCTCCGGGACGTGCAGGCGTCGCGGAGCGGACCGTGGAGCGGTGCGGAGCGCCCTCGTGTTCTGCACGGGGACGTGGTCGGGGAGGACGGTGTGGCGACGGCCCCACCCCTGGGGTCGGTTCAAAGACCAGTCTACTCCGCCGATGACCAGTCTGATTTCGGGGTTCTCCCTATGTGACGTGTTTGCCCAGCCTGGAGCGACCCTGATTCCTCATTCACATCGAAGTGAGGGCCAATTTCTCTGAGGTGTTCTTCACTCACATAGACTCCGTAGACTGTTGATTCTATTTCAACTCATTTTCAACCCTCCAGTGGAGGTTTTTTTACAATCCATGTTTGGGGAGGTTGATTCATCAACAGTCTACATTACTGCTTTCCCTCTTTGACTGAAGTGCGACTTGGATCGATGAATTCAGGCGACCAAGTTCCGCCACAGATGCACACAACCGAGTGTTTTCAGACACACACGGACAATTCGCGATTGAAATGAACTTGAGTGTGGGGTCTGAGTCTGGTCTGCGGAACTGTAGGTTACCTTTTCATACAATATTAATATAGCTACAAAGCCAACTTTCAAGTGTGGGACAGCAACAAGCATCAAGAGAACAGGACCCCACCAACCTAAAGCACTGGTCCTATTGCATGTGGACACTGGGTAACCACCTTCTTGCAGTTCGAACAGATGTGGACACTGGCTCGTCTTCAATCAGGGTCGTGTTTTTTCTCCGCCGATTGGACTCCGCGTGTTGTCTTCTTTGCTTCAGGAGGGAAGCTGCTTCAACTCAGTTGATTCTTGTTTAAACAATACCTACAGGTCGCCGGTCCGTCCAATCGAAGTGTCCATTTGAAAGAAAGACGCCTATTGACCTTGGGGCGTCAAAACGTGGACTGGCTACGACCTGGGCCTCGAGGGTTAAACGGTCGTCATCCAACAGGCACAACAGGTCATGCCATCCACGTAACCTCGATCCCTGTACCAATACCATCCAAGACCCATGCGACGAGGCAATCATGCAGCGACAATCATGTGAGAATCCAATTGAAGCCAATTGAACACAAACAAGTGTACCACTTGGTCCTTGGTTGGAATCGAGGTTACACTTTTCTTCGCAATTTTTAAAGTTTGAAGACACACGTTTTGCTGGGACACCAGAGGCTAGCGGCCCATGGATTGCTGGGAACATCATGGACACATGCAGAATTGGTTCATTTGAACATGGATCAAGACAACGGACTGGTGCGACGAAAGCAGGGTGGCTGAGGGTGGCTGGATCCTAAGGAATTTGTAGAAAAAGCTGGATCGCACCGGGTCACCTTCACTTTCGTCGCACCAGTCAGAAAACGAGGAGGCCAAATAATCCACTTGAAGGTGAGCACTCGGCGTCAAGCCTCGGTAACAGCGTTCACACACCGGTGACTGTTTATTTTTGTTCATTGGTGCCAAAGACGATGTTCCGTCTGAGAAAGGAGGGGCAACTTGTTGAGGCATTCATTTGAAACATGTGGAGTGGACAGATTATTGTTATTACTTATTTTTTTTAAAATGCATGTGACAGCCACCCGTTTTTCTTCCCGTTGGGCCAAGTTCTTGGAGGTTTTTCTGTTGAAGATGCTCGAAGGGAGGACACGTGGGGAGTCTTTCCCGAGAAAGGCCAGCTCTAGATGCTCCCAAGAACGGTGATTGATGATGTCCTTCTTTGGTGTAGTCGTACTTAAACAATGAAGTCACTGAGGGGGGGAGGATGTTTTCCTATTTTTAAAGCAATTGACACGCACAAAATGATGCTTGTCTGCCAAGCTGTCTACCCCCAAGTGGTTCGGATCGAGACGACAAGTTGACGATGAACAGCTGAGCTGGATACTCTTGAGTGCATGAAAATAGGTGTTGCTTTCATATGTTCATCACTACTAGCTGGCTAAGTTGATCAGTGGGGTGCTCACACCAGTAGAAATGTGGGGCTACACCTTTCAACCTAGTAGGAGCTTCCACTAGGCTGACCCATGATGGAGCAGGATGGAGCTTCATTGGTAGAAAGGAACACGGCCCAACCAAAGACTCAAGCTACCAGGACCCTCCAAGGGGTGTCCAATGAACTACCCACACTACCTATAGGCTTCCATTGGGCACCCCTTGGAGGGTCTTGGTAGAGTTAACTCAAACCAAGGCCCTTAGGGCGGCCACATGACCGAACCGTCTGAAAACCGCTCAGCGACGCCGGTGGCGCCGCCGGATGTCTTCTGACGGGTCGGTTGGGGCTCCATGCTTCGCCTTGGCTTCAAGCATGTGATGTGGCGGTGGGTCATGGCGCCCGGGCACCCTTGTGGATGCCAGAAAATGAACATAATGAACTGAATCCTCCTGCTGGCGGGATGTCAGCCTGGGGGGGGAGGTGACTCGCCCCAGGCTGCTTTGAGGTCGATGTGCCGGTTCTGCCAGTCTCTCCCACCTCTTCAGGTCTCCCGGTAATTCGGTCCAGGGGTCCAGCTCCTTCGGCGGTGGGCTTCAGCTCCTTCGGCCACAGTACCAACTTGGTTTTTGGGGTCGCAGTACTAGTAACAAGAAGCTACTAGTAGCGATGCACCTGTTACTAGCCTTGTTACAATAGTATAGCTTCTGGTGGTTGTTTTTGGACTGCCCTCTTTGATGAAGATCTTTTTTTTTTCCAACTCGAGCGAAGGCGGAGAACTTCGAGCTCAGAGAGCAGTTGGCGGCCATTCAGGTGGGTGAGCTCCGTGTTGGGTGTGGGCGGGCGCTGAGGATGAGGATGAAGGGTTGTAGGATGAGGAGGACAAGGTGAGTATAGGCGACTGATGGAGGATGAAGGGATCGAAGTAGATGAACAGACGCAAAAAGGCGCTAGACAGAGCATGTTGCAACCATCGGTCGTGCGAAAAACCGATGGAAGAACCATGCCTTTTGGGTGAAGCGACCATCGGTCCGCTGGGATGAGATGTGCTAAGTGGACCTTGTTTTTGGAAGCGTTGGACCAGGGCTCAAGGTTGAGTGAATGACAGGTTGGGATCCAAATCTGTCCAGGAAACGCAGACTCTTGATTAATAAACCATAATGTTTTAAGAGGTTAGAAAACCTCTTCTACCTCTCGCGGCCACAACGATTCCCCTCGTTTGAGGTGGCCAGTGCCGCCAGCGTTCCACTGGAGCGGCATTCGAAAAGAGTCTTTCTACAGGACGGAAGCAAAACACTATCGAAATTCGGCAACAGCAAAAGCCCAAGAGGACATCGCGGCCCCTGTCACCTTGCGTGACACAAGTGTGAGCAACATCAAGGCATCGTCACAAAAGTAGGGTCGAGCACCACACAGCGAACCCGGGGGCATCGACTTACCCCAAGTATGCGCAATGTGTGGCTGATAGTGCCCAGGTGTGATCGAAAAGGGCAGCTGTCGGCGGCAGAAAGCAAAGGATGACTTTATCCACTTCGCAAGTTCTTGAAATGTACAATGCTCGTTTTGAAAACAAGAGCAGGGAAGCTTCAAGAAAAGAAACAGAAAAAATGTGGGGGCTATTTATCAAGAGTCTACATGATTCATGGATTGGAGGTAGCCTATGGACGATATTTGGTTCAGGACATCGTTGTAAACCAGGTCGGCGTTGCGCCATGAGCATAGTTGCATCAGGCACCAGAGGTTTCAGTCGGTCGGGTTGCTTACAGAGGTTACAGTAGGGTGGAGGCCATCGCTAGTACGTTGGAGGCCATCGCTAGTAGGTTGTATTCCAATTGGGGAGAATGTATTCTAGGGAGATGATATGATGCACTTAGTGTTTGGCAGTCTAAGAAGCCTACCTCCAGCTGGAACCTTCCTTCACACTCCGAGTGGAGTTCGGAGCCCCGAACTGGATTTCACTTAGCCCAGCCCCAGCGAGCCAATCGCAGCCAATCGCTGCGTGCTCAAAGGCCGTGGGCGCTGGGTATGGCAGCATTCTGAGCCCAACGAGCTCCAAAGATGTCCGCTGGATGCCGCCTGCAGAGCCCGAGGCGACCGCTGGACGCTGGACCGCGTCGGATCCAGTGGAGGGAAATCCGGTGGATGGCCAGTCATCAAAAGGATGAGCCTATTAGTTTGATGTGCCATGTGACCATGTGCTTTTAGTTTTTCCTTTTTTCTCTCATGTCCAGTTGGGTGATTGAACACACGATGCCTATAGGCATATGATTGAAGACCATGTGGTCACATGGCAGTCTGAATCGATCGATTGGGCTCCGGTCCGTCCTCGTGTGGAGTCACGTGGAGAACTGGAGGGGGGGGGTCCCCAAGGCCACCGCATTTCAAGGGTTGACGCGGTGAGGTGGGACTTCTCGACTTCGACTTCTTGAAGTTCTGATCCCAGTTTTTCTCATCCCCAGTGTGCGTTTTTTGGGGAGGTCATCGGCTTAAGACCCCAAACAGAGGTACCCGGAATTCAACGGCTCATTGGTTCAGTGGAGGTGAGTGAGTGGCACTGTGATGGCACCTCTTTGGGTCTCCGGAATGAATGGCACCACCTCCACGCGTCCCACGCCACGTGAAGTGTCGCCGTCACCGAGTCCGCGTCGGTGCGACTCGCCGATGTGACTGACGGACTTCGGGATGGCAGGTCTGATCCAGTCTGAAAAGCATGAAGTGAAAGAAATCCAATCTTTTTTTTAAAAAGTTTTTCATGGTTGAGGGATGTTGAGGCTTTGGGTTATTTTGTGTTACAGCGTTTCTATAAAATTATGACCAACTTCAATGTGATGAGGGGAATCTCCAAGTCGCCGGGAGACACGTTGCTGGTCTTCCACCGGTGCTCGAAGATCGATACACACGATGCTCGCAGGTGAGCGACACCAAGGATTCGGTGGCGCAGTTCCTGGAGAAGTGCCCTGGCGAGTGAACTCGCTGCGAGTCCGCGAGTCCGTGTGGGGGTGCGTTCGACGTGCGTTCGACGTAGACTGCGCGTACCTATTGGGAGGGCTGTTTGATGCTGTTTTGGTGCGACCCACGGGACTGCGTGGGTGCCGGCTGACCCATTCGCGTCGGACCCGGACCCGATGGCTGCTACGGCTGCAGAGGTTTTTCATGTCCTCGCCCTGGTTGGTGCCGGGGCACTGGACTGCCGACGAAGACCGGGGCTGCCGGAGTGCCCACATGCGGGTGCTTCGGTGAGGGATGGGACCCTCCTTGTGAGGCCAGAAGCGGGTTAACCTTTTTACTAAACCCAGACACGACCGATGTCTGTCATATATGCCTACTGACCCCTCTGGCACCACCCCAATGTAGGTTTTCTATGCGCCAGTCCCATTCGTCGTGTCTGGGTGTCGTTTTTGACACTACCCAACGCAGGTCGATTCTTGAAATGGCCTGTTTGGATCCTTTGGACTTCGGATGATTTGGTGAGGTCCTGTCGAGGATCCGTGGGTTCCACCCCGACGGAAGCCGGGTCCCGGACCCCACGGCCGAACGAGTCGCCTCTACTTTCGATGCGACCCTGGACCCGAATCCGGAGGGGTCTGGGGTCGAACCACTCCCTATAAAGGTTTTGAGGGACCGGCTGTGAACGGAGCGTCTGAACATACGACTTTGGGCCCCCAAAACCATGCATTAGGTTCTGTCTTTTTTTCGTCGTCAGGTGGAACGTCCACGAACTGGAGGCAATGCTTCCGTCGACCCGGCATTCCAGGGTCCAAGAAAATTCGAGACCAAAGAATCTTGGCCCTCCGAATCATGGCAGATGGGGGCCCTGGGAAGAGTCGACATAGCTTTGTTCTCAGGGGGTAGATGATTTCGACTTCTGGTTCTATAGTGAGCCAGAGTCTTTGATCTTTCGCTCCGAGTCTTTGGAGCGCTTCGAAAGAGAAGAATACCGTGGATCCACCGATCCATCCGAAATCACTGGAGGGAAACCATCCCTGATATGGAGTGTCTGCCAGCACCTTCATGTCGGGGTCACCAATGGAAGCCCCTACACTACTAAAGGACCTCCAGCCAGGACACCCCTTGAAGGTCCAGGTGGGTATATATTCTCTTGTATATTCTCTTGCTGCATGGTGTGTGGCTCGGGATTTGTGACCTGCCGAGAGTCCGAGGGACACCCGAGCGTTCCACCCTTCCAACGAACACGTCGTGCAGTCGAAGAGGGTTAAGGGCTGACGCCCGACAGCCGGCCAGGGGCCCACGTCTAGAGAGGGAGCAGGGGAAGGTTGCGATGGCGAGGAGCATGGTGGTGGTGGTTAGGGATAAAAGGAATTACATACAGTATCCATGCATATATTATATATAGAGTCAAAAGACGATAAAAAGAATGGTCTTTAGGGGACCTGAAGGGGATCTTCCTTTACTTCAGCCGGTCAAAATATCGTCGAACTGGACTTCTAGGGTATACAGAGATCCTGGTGTTATCTCCAAAAAGGTGTTTGTTTGTATTTTGGCGTCTTCCTTGGATGAGATCGGAGGCAGGGAGGAATCGGATGCTGCGACCGCTGAGAAAGCGGAGCACTAGGTCACTAGGTGATCATACACCTAGTGTAGGATCAGCTAGTACCCTAGAGTAGCTTCAACGATGTGAGGTTCCGTGGAGTTGGGTTGAGTCCCACAATTCTGGTGCTTGTTTCACCGACGGCGACGGGTTTTTGTAAGAATCCGACTGGATTTGTTCAGATCTCTGCAGGCGTTGAAGCCGCTCTGCGGGCGTCAAACCACCTCCGTTTAGCCTTTGATGGAAGGACGACCTTTTTGGAAGGGTGGCGACCGGTACGTAGTTCCTTCCCACGAAGCGGACGATTGGGGTTTTACAGTCCTTTTTGTCCCTCCAAGTCACCCAAACTGCTGTGCCGACAAATCCCTAGGGACGATGCAGATACATATGGATGGAAGCGATTAGTAACTTAGTACTGACGGAACAGTGCGTAGCGACGAATCGAAGGTTCCTTCGTAGAGCACCGACTTCATTTTTATCCGGCAAACTGTACTGTGACGCGATCTCAGAGAGGACGCAGTGCTTAATAGCTTCCATGCCCCATGAGCAAAAGCAAAACAGGTCCCGTTATCAACGCCACTTCGTTTTGGTGGAGCAGCCCAATCAACAAGAAGCATGCTGGCGTCTAGACAAAAAAGAGGTCTAAGCACGCGCATTGATTGTTACGACGCCTGAGCCCAGAGCCGTTGAGCAATTGGAGGACATGACAGGTCATGCTTCACTTGGACTGCCCGAAGTGATGAAGTCGTGCAGCGGCCTGGAACTGCGCAGACACGGCCTGGGACTCTTCTAGCCTTCGAGGGGTGGGCCAGATCCATTGTTGACAGCACGCTAAAGCCCTCAAAGCTTTTCATGCCATATTCGCATCGCGCGCCCGATGCCGCGCCGATGCCGCGGTGGCAGCCGAGGTTGGGCTGCACGAGTTCCAACCCATTGGACCGTCCCTGGGAGCGGCTTTTGTAGCTTTCAGGTCGTGAGGGATTGATTGATTGGTCAGTGGATAGGTAATTACGTTGATGTTTTTTGTGTCTATATTGCTTACTCGATGTTACTCGTTTAACAGTGTTGGCATGGTTGGTATGTACTCTTGCCAAGCCTTAGCCACAAGAAACTTCAGTTCCACTGATCAGATACCTGACCCTAAAGGAATGGGATGAACACATTGTTCTGAAAGTAGAGGCGCAGTGGGAGAACTCTCCACGTTTCGACCAACTGCATATATTCTCAACGCTGGTTGGTTCGGGTGCTTTGGTACGGAAACATTTATGGTTCGTTGCTACAAGGTCTTGAAAAGCAAGAGTTGGTTCTCTTTGGTGTCCATGCATGATGTGCATGATCTTGCTTCCTGGCCCGCCGGTCGAGTCGCAAGTGAGAGGAACTGTTGGCCATTGCTGGTGTGGGATATTGGTCTCTTTAAAGGCCTTCCAGCACCATCCACACAATGTGTTCGTGCCAAATTTCTGGATTTGAAAGTCAGTTGTATCATGTTGCATCAGGTCGGTCTCCCATTCCCCAGGGATCCCAGTGCCTTCTCACTAAGGTGTTTGGGGTGGGTTTGGAGGGTCCATGGTGCCTTCTGAGAAGGTACTTAGATCCCTAGGGATTGTTAATCAAAAACCCCCAAACATCACCCAGTCGGTCTCCCATTGTGGGAGGGAGTGGTTCAATATTATCCACGTCAAGCGTGCTGTTCTGAGCCCACCCTTGCTAAGCCACAATTTTCCAATGGTGATAAAAAGTATTTTCCAATGGTGATAAAAAGTAGATCAAATCTGTAAGTTCTAATGTGAAGTTTTTGACCACTTGTGACTTTCAACATGAACCACAGGCCACAACCACAGGCCACCGCCGGTGCCTCTCTCTGCCCTCTAACATCGCATGCTTTCTCTCGTTCACGTTCTCCCCCTTCCGTGGTTGTTCTGAGGCTTGGAGCGGGCGCAGAGCAAACTGGAGGCTTGGGCCAATAGCCACCACCCCAAGCCGGATCCGGTGCTCGCAGGCGCGGACGTGGCGCCAACCGCCGAGCTTCCGGGTCGGGACGAAGCGGACGGAGCCGAGGAAGCCGAGCGCACCTGCTCCAGAGACCAAAGACTGCAGAACTAGCGCAAGTGTTTTGGGGTGTGAAGTGAGACAAAGCGCCCGTGTTCTGTTCAAGCGAACTTGCACATTCATCATGTAACCGGCGGGGTCCTTTGCTTTCGCTCAGATAATCGGGTGGATCGCCCCCCCGCACATCCCATATTATATATTATACACACACCGCATGCATCGAACTGGACACACAACCAAACTCTCATTTGATGAACCTCGATGGGCTCATGGTTCGAGTTGCAGTCGTTCTAATCACCTCGATCGTGATGATCATCGAATCTCGCGCGAGCTTTGAGGTCTGGTGGATTACCAAAACATGGACCTTCCCAACTTCGTGGAAGAGCCCGATCCTGCCACGACGGCAGTGGCCGTGGCTGTCCCTGAGCAGGCGAGGGAATTTTTGTGCGTGTGGCGGGGCGGTGGGCAGAAAACATGACCGATTCAATATGATACTCAAGTATATAGAGATATTGGTTATAGGATATGGAAGACAGGACCATTTTAAGGATTTGATTTGAGTCACTCTCAAGTCTGTTTGAGTTGGGCTTCAGTCCAGTGGATCAGATCTGGGCGATCGGTTGAGTCATCGCCATCCGCCACCGAAGACGTTTCCAGTGGAACTTCCCGACCGGCATCCGAACCGGTCAGACGGCTGAGACCCTCTAGGTCAAAGATCTCATTTTCCGGTCAGACACACCAAAACACCAACCGAAGACGATGTTTTTTTTGTTTTTAACGAAGAGATGTCCAGCACAACGGCCGTGAAGTCAACCCTGCCATCTAGCAGCACCCATTTCGGGTGCTTATTGGATGGAACCAAAAGCATCGACTCATGGGTGTCTATACAACACCCAAACTGGGTGGTGCTGGTCTATACCGTTCCACACGAAAAACCGTCCCCACGTTGGTGGACTCACTTGGACGAACGTTGGTCGATTCGACGCGCCGCACCTGCTCCGCTCTCCGCGTTTGGGACTACCTGGACCATCCTGTCTGGGTGTGGAGGGTAGTCCACCCTACTCTACCTGTCTTGGATCTCTATACCAGGACCCTCCAACAGGCTGTTTAGGGACCCTAACAGGTGGTTTCTGGGCACCTGTTGTCACCAGGAAGCACCTGTGAAGTCGGGTGCTGGTACAGGTAGAGATGATTCGGATCGGTGATTGTAGTCGGAGATTTGTTGCGGAGATCTTTTGATCAGGAGGAGACCGAGGCCGTCGAGGAGACCGAGGGCTTCTCCTACGTGCGCTCGGCGAAGAACAAGCGCAAGAGTGTCAAGGGCGGCGGCAGGCAGACGGGAGAAGCCCGCACCGGGAGGCATTTTTTGGGGATTTCAGGCACTGAACAGGGCACCTTAGTGACATGTTGCGGTGGTCCGGTGGTTCGGGAAGAGAGGGAAGATGGGTGAAACAGTGAGAAGTCTTTCCTCCATGATCTCAACTCCGCTCTATCGTCTGTCGGTTTTGTGAAGTCAAACCTGTTCACTGCCTATCGATGTGTGTACCGTTAGAAGCAAAACAGCTCCCCCACATGGATAGCCGCATAGCCCTCACCTGGAAGAGGTTTTTTTCCTCGAATGGACACCCTTTTGGATCGACTCTGTGACCCTTCCACCTCGCATTTTTGGATCTCCCTGCGTTTTTTTTTTTTGGACCCATTTTGGGGTTCCGTTTCGGTGGTCGTTGCGTTGGCTTCCATCTCGCATCTCTCGCAGGCAGACCTTCAGCATGAAAGACAAGGTCCAGGATATCTTCGCGGTCACTCGGCGAAGGAAGATGCGAAGACCGGTCCCAACGATGATATTGTCGGGGTGGTCCAAAACCGGCGGTTGTGCCGAAACCGGCCGTCGCTCTCTTTTTCGGCGTCTCGCAAGAAGAACACACATCGCGCACCTTTTTTTAAACCAGGAATTCTCAGATGTTCTCAGAGTGTCAGAACATGTCAGAGGCAAACGGAAGGGTAGTCCACACACCCTCCATTTAGCCTTCAACATGTTTTTCTTTTGGGAGGGGGAAAAAGGCCATGGTCTCGGCATGACACGGAGTCTCGACGACCAAAGCGGTCAGAAGGAGGAGTCGCAGATTCTAGGAGCATGCCATCCAAAGGATTGGAAGAGTGATACCTAGATCTTCCAATTGTGCAAAGTTTATGTTTGTTCATCCATGCAGCCAGCCAAAAGGCAGACATGTTGCATAGTTGGAAGATGAATCATTATCTAGGTATACATAAATTCATATTACATAGTACATTTATACCATCATTTGCAATTGTTTGAAAACCCCTTTCCCATGAACAATGACTCCTCCGCTGGTGACACCAACGATGCTCTGGTGGAAGAAGGCCGCAACGTTCGCCGTCTCGACCGGGGATGGCCCGGCCACGGAGCGGTCAGTGCGTGTAGCACTCGTGCTAAGGCTCAAATGAGTACACGGGACAAGTACAAGAAGAGTGGAGTCGCGCAGAAGATCGTGCCCCGCTCGAGGTGGTGGAGTTGCGGGAGGGTTGTGGTTGGTGATCCGACGGAGTGTGGGTTGGAAGCCACTCCACAGTGTGGGAGGGGTGTAAATCTTTGGCTGGGTAACCGACTAGCGATGGCCTCCAACCTAATAGCGATGGAAGAAGGAACCGCTAACAAGTTTTACAGTTTGGGATCTCCTGATGGATGTGCTTTTGCGCCTGTGTTGCTTCGTCCGCCTAACGGTTTTGCCGTCGGACGGGCCGTCTTCCGAAGGATCGTGGAGGGGTGCCCTCCACGTGTGAACCCTGTGATGCGCTCGGAGTGTTGACTATAGTAATCCCCCCAGAATATGGAGCCGTTCTGGTCAGGGGTGGTTTGTTAATCTGCAGTCTACAGTGCTCTTGAAGTGGCTGGAGGAATTCTGGGAGGGTTCAGCTCTGGAAGCTGGTCCTTGTGTCGCACGGTCCCTTCAGTCTCAGAAGCCAATTGATCCGGGCCCTGCGCGAGATATGGCAAGCATCGTTGTAAGCAAGAACTTGGCAATATCCTCCTGTGAATATGGGATTATAAACATGTTCTATTGACCACTTTTAACGGACAAAGTGGATGAGGGCTTCCAACTTTGGCCACAAAGTCTTGCGTCAACAACTTCGTTGCGGTTTGTTCGTTTGATTTTGTCCTCCTTTAACGGAAAAAACCATGCATGTAACGGCGGAGTCGTTTGTGGTTTGATTGCGTCCTTTTCGACGACCGACCGAGACCAGCCGAGACCCGTGAGGTTCGTGTAGAGTGTTCGTTGAGTGTCATGAGTGTCGTTCGCCAAGGTTCGAAGCACTCACTTTGAGAACCTCTGCATGTTTGTGATCTTTCTCAACGCCATTTGGAGCCTTAGTCTCTCACTGACTCACGACGACAGCGCGACAGCGATAGCTAGCGATAGCTAGCGATAGCTAGCGATAGCTAGCAAAGAGATTTGGACCAGGCATTTGGATGACAACTTCTTGGAAGGGATGTTCACTCTCTTGGTTTTGCTTTTGCTTATATAAGGATTTCATTGTGTTTTTTCTGTGGCTGAATCCCCTTCTGGGCAATATTGTCTATTCTTTACGGGTCCCTGGTTAGCAAACGTCAATCTTTTTCCGAGTAGCCCTTCGACGATGGACAAATAGCACTTTCCATGGTAAAACCATGTAAAACAAAGATCCTATGGCCGGGGGTTATTTTGTTTAGCAAATAATAGCAAAAATAGATTGAAAACAAAATATACATGCATATATAATTGAAATCTCTTCAACAACATAGTCTACAGCTCAACATCTATCACACTGAATAAAGAGGGACGCGCGTTTCCTGCGATGTGAAGACGCGCGTCATCCTGACTGGTGCGACTCGTAGAGAACAAAGGTGGCTGACAATCCACTATACCAGGACCCTCCAAGGGGTGTCCAATGAACTACCCACACTACCTATAGGCTTCCATTGGGCACCCCTTGGAGGGTCTTGGGATAAAACCCAGTGGATTGAAGCACCTGCTTTAAAACGTCTCCTGCTTTTGCCGAGGAAGTGGGCGTTTCACAAAGAAGTTGGCGTTTGCACATGGCACAAACCTATGGTTCAACATCCCTCACCACCAAGGAGCAAAATGTTCCCAGCCTTTCAATATTGCGACTCGTGCAACTGCAACTGCACGAGGCAACGACGTAACGATCCTTTTGATCTCTGATCTCACGACGTCTCCCGTGCCCAAACGAGCTTAGCAGGACGACCCGACGCAGGACCGGACGCAACCAACGTACGACACAGGACTCGGCTTCTGTGAAGAAGGACGCTCCAAAGGCCATGGCCAATGGCAGCGCAAGGGCAGTGTAACTCCAAAGTGACGCCAGCATGCGATGCCTTTGTTCTTAGCGCAAGAAAGCGCAAGAAACACTTTGGCTGGAGAAGTGTCTATTTGGCTGGACACCCCCGTGTCCTGTAGGAAAGGACCTTGATGACCCAGGATGTCCAGCGAGAACCTTTCAAAATTAAATCGCTCATCTCTATTCTCACCAAGAAAGGCTCGCAACTCACCATTGATCAAATCAGCGGGTCTACGCTTGCAAGCTAGCTTCATCAGGTGAACTTTCGCTGAAGACTTTGTCTAGACCAGCATGGCTCTCATGAAATATATCAGGGCGACAGAGGCAAGCTAGGTCTTGCTCGTTCAAGGAAGATACTCCTTCGCAAGGGGCCCGGATTGGACCAGTGGTCCGTCCGACTGGCCCGCGCCGCCAAGGCCCATTTCAATAGCAATCCTTCAGCTTTCTACTTGATTCAGTGGATTTGCCAACGTTGCTGAAACTCCGAGTGTGGTTCTGTGCTTGGCGTAATTGACGTAAGAAAGGGGCACCCCAGTGAGACCAAGGATCGCTACTTTCCAATTTTCACTGTTCACTGAAGCCTTCTTGGAAATGCTCATGCAGATATCTGCCCCATTTATGCAGCAAAGACAGATTGAAACTTGTCACACTTGTTTTTGCAAAGCTCACTCTTGATAGCTGTAAATGTTGCCGCGCAAAGTGTTGCCGCGCAAAGTGTTGCCGCGCAAAGTGTTGCCGCGCA